TTGCGATCGTAATCGATATAACATGTCAATTAGCATTTTTGCTCCTACTATAGACTTTGAAATTTATTTATGTATAGGGTGAAGTTATTGAATAGCAATCATATTGAAAGAGATTATGATAAAAGTATCAAAGCATCATTTTTGTTGAAAGTAGATATTGAGTTATGTGTTAGGACTAGTGATGTTCCGGATATCCGTATCCGTATCCGCGGATATCCGACGGAAAATAAAGATCCATATCCGTATCCGTATCCGTTACTTTACTCGCGGATAATTTACGGATCTTTTAACTTATTAATTTTCAATTGATAGGATGAAATGCTATATATAGGTGATTAGGTAGATTTAAAAAATTATAAAATTCAATTCAAGTATTTATTATTTCTTAAAATCAAATATTTGGCACCTTTATATTGCAAACATTTATCGTAGTAGGTAAATTACTATACCAATAGTAGATAACTCAAAGGTCTTTATAATGAGATCAATATAATAAAAAAAATATAAGTTATAAGATCACTTTTATAACTATGAGATGATGAGAAAACCAAAAATATATTCTAATGTAGTAAATTAACACTGCGTACCTAGCAGGTACTACCTACCATATAAAGTGTAAACATTAAATTACATGAGCAAACACAGTGAAAATTAGAGGAACTTGAAACATATAGTATCTGTATCCGTATCCGTATCCGCGGATCTTGACACCAAATATCCGTATTCGGATCCGTATCCGCGGATATACATTTTTAACGATCCGGCACATCACTGGTTAGGACCGGTAAATCATAAATTTGGTTATATTATCTTTGGAAATAAATATTATTATTGTTTCATATAATAATAATAATAATTCATTTATTGCATGTCACATAGTAAAACAGGTGTTATTATTAGGTACAGTTTATGTGACACCCTGTAAGGGTGTAGCAAATTTAAATTTAAATTTAAATTTCATTGTAAATAGTAAATGCTTTAAATAAAATCTTCTATATCTTCACTTTCCTCAATATCATACCTTGTTATTTAGAACGCTAAAGATTTAGATTAATTATTTTATTACAATAGCGCTGGTATTTTATAGATAACCCTGTATAATATGTATGTACAAATTTAAGCACATTTAATTCTTCTGTACAAATTTGCAAGGCCGACTTTATGCCCTAGGCATTGCCTTCCAGTCAACCTCCTTGATGTGGAGAACCAGATAAGACTTAATTAAATGAGCTATATTATACAGAATCAGCATAAGTCTTATTTTTCTAGCCAAACCCACAAGTTATATTGGCTATTTTTTAATAAATTTCGAACACATTTAAAAAAAAACAACAAAATCTTATAAAATACACGCACTCGTCCAAAGGTTACATTATTAAGTTGGTGGTGTGCGCGAAAAATATAATAAATAATTCTCCATACATGCTTTTATAATTTCTATGTGTAATAATAACCATGTTTGAGATCAATATAAATAAGGAAGTATTTTAAAAAAAAAACGAAAGCACTAAAAAAGCTAGTTGATTTTAGCAGGAAACGAACGGACCAAAGATTTTCGTTCCATTTAACTAACATATTAAAAAACTGAAATTTGCAAAGTTCGAAACTTAGATATCAATACAAATACGAAAAAGTACAAATAGAATATGAGTTGTTTATTGAGTTTTGAAAACTAATTTACTTTTAAACATGAAAAAAAAAACCGGTAGGGTTGTCATGGAGATATCAAGAACGTACCGTAGCGACATCTAGTTTGAATTCGGGAACTAATGTTTTTTTTTTAAATACTTCCTCATTAAAGCATTCAGTATGAAAGCCTTAAGAGTAATTACTTGTCATAAGTATGAAATGGCACGTGGATTATGTAATACGATTTGTAAGATATACGAGTTCATTTTTATTAAAAAATAAAAATATGTACACTTCACTTTAAGCGTAGTGTGTACATGTGGTGGTGTGTAGTGTAAGCGTGTGGTCGCACGTACCTGTTGATTATGCAGTGTACCCTAAAGCCTAGTTCACATTATACTAGGTAGTATTTTAGTCGAGTAATTAATTAGTAATCGAGTAAGTAATTTAGTAACTAAACTTGTCGGAACAACAAAAATTTAGTCGAGTAGCTTAGTAAGTAATTAAGTCGAGTCGATCCATTTTATTCTATTTTTTCGGCGAATCACCGGCTAAACGAATCCGAACCTGTCAAAGTCGAGTTCCTTAGTTGCCTAAAAATGTTGTTTCGCTGGAGCGAAGAAACAACTTTAAAATTCGTTTCCAAATAAATGGAAAATGAATACTTGTGAAACATTAAGTCCAATAAGTAGCTTCTTGTTTATCTCTTTCTGTCGAACCATTTCCTTATCCACAACTTCTTTTTATTAATTACACAAATTTCCTCATCCACCTCTTCTAAAATAGCCGTTATAATACGCTAGTTGACAACTTTTTATTTCATAAATAAATAGTTCATTAACATCTGAGAAATAATGTCGAAGTTGTTACTTCGACATTATTTGTTGACAGACATGCTGTTGCATGTCTGCGATTAATAGTTCAGGAGATATGGCGCTGTGTTTGCTGCTAGTTGGCCGAAAACGCTCCCAACAAATTCAAGGCACTCAGTGACGTCACACGGTGCTACAGTAGCGAAAAATGTATGGGCGCCTGGAGAATTTTTGTAATATCTTTGATATTTGTGCGTTTATGTTTATAGCTGTTATAATAAAAGTTGTAACATTTTTTTATATCTAATTTAATACCTTGTGTATTTTAGCAAATTTTTGTACTAGATTTTCTCTACTTTTTTCAAGTTTTCAAAGCGTACTATTTTCCAAATCAGTGACTTAAAATTTGTTTTGTTAAACATTTATAAGTTAAAATGGTACATATTTTTCGAAGATATAACAAAACCTGTATTTTTACTTGTAGAACACAACCCTATTAGCTTAAACAGTTTATTTATTGCGTTGTAAGCTGTTCATATTGCAAAACACAACTCACTTGTGAACTGAACTCGAAGAAAGTGCGAACGATTTTAAGACAGTAGTGAGTACTTTAGCTACTAAACCCCATCAGAAGATCTCCCAATAAATTTATATTTAAACGTCAAACTCGTGCCTTTCTTATAAAAAAAATATGTGAAATTCATCTTCAATATTATCTTTCTATATTTGTTTTATTGTATGTATATATGTAGTTGTATGTTTATATGTATATATATATTTTTTTCTTTCGTCAGTTAGTTTCTCTTTACTTTATGCCGCCATCGCGTTATCCTTTTATCATTGTTCCTGGGAGAGAATGACATTAGCATCAAGTCCGCCTTTTTTTAATGCCAGTTAATTAAATGAACTACTCGCTACTAGACTAAAATACTAGCCTAATGCGAACTAGGCCTAAGCGTTGTGTGTGGTGTGCACTCGCCTCGAGTGTCGTGAGAGGCACGATTGCCAGTTGAATTTAGCGGGGCAACGCGCGCATGCGTACTGAGCCTTACCCGAGTGTAACGCCACCATGTGGATACGAAGCTTCGTGCGATTCTGAAATTTATTTTTTATAGGTACAGGTGTAAAAACTATATATTATATTAGTCCGAATAATAAAAATAAAGAATATTATAGTTCCTTATATTTTCTTAAATTATAAACTAATATTGTAAAAAAAATTATATTATAAGCACTGAATAATTTACTTATAGACGATTTGTGTGTTGTCGGTTGTCCTAATCAAAAAAATAAATTAAAAAATATTAAAAATTAAATTAATATTATCAAAAAAATTAAATTAAAAAATAAAAAATATTTAATTTTTTTTAAATATAACATCTGATAATATTTAAAAAATTGCCTAAAAATGTCGTTTCGCTGGAGCGAAGAAACAACTTTAAAATTCGTTTCCAAATAATTGGAAAATGAATACTTGTGAAATATTAAGTCCAATAAGTAGCTTCTTGTTTATCTCTTTCTGTCGATCCATTTCCATATTCACAACTTCTTTTTATTAATTACACAAATTTCCTCATCCACCTCTTCTAAAATAGCCGTTATAATAGGCTAGTTGACAACTTTTTATTTCATAAATAAATAGTTCATTAACATCTGAGTAATAAGTAACAGCATGTCTACGATTAAAAGTTTAGGAGATACGGTGCTGTGTTTGTGGAACTGCTGCTAGTTAGCCGAAAACGCTCCCTACAAATTCAAGGCACTCAGTGACGTCACACAGTGGTACGGTAGCGAAAAACGTATGGGCGTCTGGACAATTTTTGTAATATCTTTGTGATTTGTGCGTTTATGTTTTGCTGTTATAATGAAAGAAGTAATATTTTTTATATCTAATTTAATGCCTTGTGTATTTTTGCAAATTTTTGTACTAGATTTTCACTACTTTTTTCAAGTTTTCAAAGTGTACTATTTTCCAAATCAGCGACTTAAAATTTGTTTTGTTAAACATTTATAAGTTAAAATGGTACATATTTTTCGAAGATATAACAAAACCTGTATTTTTACTTGTAGAACACAACCCTATTAGCTTAAACAGTTTATTTATTGCGTTGTAAGCAGTTCATATTGCAAAACAAAACTCACTTGTGAACTAAACCCGAAGAAAGTGCGAACGATTTTAAGGCAGTAGTGAGTTTTAGCTACTAAACCCCATCAGAAGATCTCCCAATAAATTTATTTTTAAACGTCAAACTCATGCCTTTCTTATGAAAAAATATGTGAAATTCATCTTCAATATTATCTTTCTATATTTGTTTTATTGTATGTATATATGTAGTTGTATGTTTATATGTATATATATATTTTTTTCTTTCGTCAGTTAGTTTCTCTTTACTTTATGCCGCCATCGCGTTTACCGTTTTATCGTTGTTCCTGGGAATGCCATTAGCTTTTGTACCATTTTTATTGGTCAATAAAATCAAGTCCGCCTTTTTTTAATGCCAGTTAATTAAATGAACTACTCGCTACTAGACTAAAATACTAGCCTAATGCGAACTAGGCCTAAGCGTTGTGTGTGGTGTGCACTCGCCTCGAGTGTCGTGAGAGGCACGATTGCCAGTTGAATTTAGCGGGGCAACGCGCGCATGCGTACTGAGCCTTACCCGAGTGTAACGCCACCATGTGGATACGAAGCTTCGTGCGATTCTGAAATTTATTTTTTATAGGTACAGGTGTAAAAACTATATATTATATTAGTCCGAATAATAAAAATAAAGAATATTATAGTTCCTTATATTTTCCTAAATTATAAACTAATATTGTAAAAAAAATTATATTATAAGCACTGAATAATTTACTTATAGACGATTTGTGTGTTGTCGGTTGTCCTAATCAAAAAAATAAATTATCAGATGTTATATTTAAAAAAATATTTAATTTTTTTTTAAATATAACATCTGATAATATTTAAAAAATCGCCTACACCCGTATCCTACTAATAAGAAAATTACGAAAATCTGTGAGAATGTATTTATGTATGTTTATTAAAATTTTAAGCTTGAATAACATACATATGCTACTTTCAATTTTGAAGACCACACACAAAAAAGATTAACAAATAATAATAAAATATCAGACAATATCACATCCACTGCTCAGATTCCAAGGTGAGTATCTAAAGCCCCCGTATTATGGAGTATCTGAGAGAAAAAAAGGTACCACAACACCCAGACTCTGGCATTATAGAAAAGTTCATTTTCTACATTTACCTGACGAGAAATCGAACATGGCACCTTAATGATAGTTATGGGACATCTGTATTTAAACGAACCCCGTCGCAGTTTTTTGATCTGAGATTACATCTAGGGTCTAATGATAGAACTTTCCATACACGGAGAGTTAATAACTAGCGAATAAATTTATATAAGACTAGCTTCCTGCCAGCGGCTTCGTCCGCGTTGTTCATATAAACTTCACCCCACTATTTCATCCCCTTGTTTACTCACATCAAATCTTTCCTTTTTTATGTAATATAAGTAAATTGTTATATATAAAAAATACAGGGTGATTGATGGATTTTCATTATAAATTTATTTTTTTTGTTTAAATGATAATACTCACCGGAAACGGTTTCCCGCAGTGATCGCACAGATGTTCCACGCTGTCCTTTTTATGGACCACTTGCTTGTGAATATATAACGATGTGTGACTTTTGAAGACCTAACAATATAAAAAGTGTTATATTTATTATTAATGAAAAATGCTTAAAAAATCAACCAGCCCCAGGTGCTTTGAGACGGGACTAGAGTCGAATTTGAATTCACTCATGTATCCGAACACGTCATTTAGTGAAGAAATTCGTTTGATTCAAATTTTCATATGAAAATACAAAACAAAACTGATTGGATATACGTGTCTCAGATATTCTATTCCAATGTCATTTCGACATTCATTTCACTTATGTCATAATCAGTGGTCGGAATTAGGTAGAGTTATTCATGTACTTACACTGATTTCATACAGCGAAAGAATAAAGTGGATTCGCTCAAATCCCGAGATTAATTTTAAAGAGCAGAAAAAATCCCGTGATTTTTTAAATAAAAAGTTATTTACTTTTACACAATTTAAACTACTGCACGCACGACGTTGCCAAACTTACATCAATGAAAGAAAGAAATAAAGAAACCCCGGGAAGGTCCACATTAATATCAACATTTCGATGCAAGTACATAAATAACTCTACCTAATTCCGACCTCTGGACTCATAAAACGTTATTACCAATTCAAGGTTGAGCGGATGATTTTGAAGAGAATTCGAGTTCGGGTTTGGATTTTTTACAGAATCGCAGGGCAGAAGTCTAACATTATTAGTGCAATGTCTTTTTCACAAATCAATGGTGACAGATATTAGACTTTTATTAAAAAAAAAAAAACTTTTCTACTCATTCATCCCCTCTTATTTTTACTCCTTGTGGTTTGTGCATTTATTTTTATTTATTTTAAAGACAAAGGGACTTTATGCTATAGAGCCATTAAGTCAATGACATATTTTTATTTAGTGTGCAAGTTAGTGGAACGTCGGGAAAGGGATAAGGTATTATAACAATTACCTACCTTTTGGCATACGGTACAGGTGTGCACAAAATTCTTGAGATGCTCCCAATCCACGTGGTCTTTCAGACGGGTTTTATTAGCGAACCTCTTCCCACAATCACTGCACATGTACCTGACAAATACATCTTATTCAATAAAAGGTCACTCATGGGATGGGTGACCGAAAAATTATTATCTAGAGCTGCTCCGCGCTGACACGTTAAACCGTTAGTCCCAGCTGCATTTGCAACCGTTAATACCCTCCTATTCCGCATTGGGTCCGCGTGGAGGGTCATGGCCCATCCTCCTAAGCCCCTGCAGTGGGTCGTTACAGAGCTGATAATGATATAAAAAATCTGTATTATTAACTAGATGTCCCGGCAGAACTGGTTCTACCCTATCACTATATATTAAATTAACTAAAGACACATGTTTTACAGTTGGGGACAAAGTGGTTTGATATGGGAAAAGTAAAATTGCAATTTTTACTATTTTATGATTATATTTGTTTTATAATTTTTCTCTCCATAAGAACCTTCTTCAGACTGTAACGGTGCATCGTACCACACCATTTATTTTGTCCTAAATTCCCGCATCCAAACTTTTTGTCTCTATTTTTAAGATTATTTGTTTTACCTTAAATCTTGAATTGAATTTTTAACCCCCCCCCCCCCCCTCATTTTGTTCATCAAACACAACAAAATAGAAATCGGCCAAATCGTTTCAGCAGTTCTCGTGTTTTGCGCTTAGCAACACATTTAGCAAATAATTTTTATTTATACAGACAGATCGGCGGCGCAATTGTCGAAGGAAGGATAATACGGAATCCATCGAGGATAGCTTACCCAACCCCCACTTTGGACCCTATTAAGGTGCCTTAGGTATTATGATATACTCACTTGAAGTCGCTCTCGGAATTGTGTTTCTTACTTATCATCATATGCTGTTTGTATGTAGCGATTGACGAGAAAGTTCTATTACACGGCTCACAGACTAATTCACCGTTCGCCCTACGATATAACATATAAATAATATAAAGCTAATTAATATGGAGGGCAAAAAAAAAATCTATTCAGCTCGTTAGTCAGAAAATAGAAAAATATTAGATACGTATTTTTTTTACTTCAATTTAACAAGAAATATCTTATATAACAGGCATTAAAGTTGAGGAGTGGAGGATTACTACGTCACAGTTTAGTAGAAAATGTACAAAATCGTGACATTTGGCGTAATTTAATGATTACGCAAAAAAAAAGTATTTAATATTTTTTAACAATCTATCTGACGGAAAAATAAACAAAAACTTCGAGTGCCTATTATCTAAGCCATTTCTTATTAAATTGAAGCAAAAAATATATATCTAATATATTTCGAATATCCGAATAAACATCTCGATACCATCGACTATAGTAAATAGTTTGTATATAAACGTCAAACTTCATTCACAGAGTTGTGAACAAAGAGTAAACTAACAGTGAGCATAGTAGTAATATTATATTTTTATAATTGATACTTCAGAGTGTATTTTCATCTAATAAATAGATCATTGTTGCTGATGTAAGGAAAGAAATCATTCATAAAATTCAATGCTAATGGAGTTTTAGCTATTATGCGCAAAATAACAATTTAATTATCGGTCAGTTGCACAAACGTCCATTAAGGTTTAATTACGCCTTTAAGCTCTAATGAATAACAAATTTGTATGGGTAATGTCGCTTTAAAGTAATAAAAATTTAAATGTAAATTTGTGCAACTGGCTGTATATCAGATAAATATGATTGAGACATTTTATAAAAATTCTTGGGCTGTATTGTTTAGTAAAATCAAGTTTCTAAGTTCACAATAATAGAGGACCGGACAGCAATTAGATAAAAAATGTAACTGTAAATTGTTAAATAGTTTATAAAGATCAAAGATTATTCTTAGAATAATTTTGCTGAATAACAATTATTTATATTTTTAAATCAATAAACAAAAATTGAAATTTCAAATATTTCTAGTCTGTGTGTCGCGTCAAATGAAACACCAATCAGAGCGCGCAACGTCATTTGTGGGTAAATATTTCTAGAAAAAACCCCGGAAAACATTCATAGTGCAAAATAATTTCAATGATTTACTGGATTTTTTAATTGTTTACAAGGGTCAGTATTGTGTTTTGAGAATAAGAACTGTAATTTTTTTTTTTCATTGAATTTCCTTTTTGTTTACACCCAAATGACGTCACATCCTCCGAGTTACCGTTTACGCGGTTATTTTTACATAAAATAATATTTTTTGTCTGACTAAGCATGCATACTGATTAATTTAGTTTATAGAAAGTTGTCCGGTCCCCTATAATAATAGGTTAATTTAAATTATTTAACAATGAATGATTATTAGTTTCATTATTGCTCTTATTGAAACATGATTAATAAATCCACCTTGTCCCCAGCACTCCGAGATGGTACTTTCCGTTATCATCCATGATTTTCCGTTATCCGGGCGACTGCTCTAATCACTGAGCTACCCAGGACCTAACAGGACTGACGAATCGACGAATCTTTCGAACACCTGTTACTTTTTCGCTACTATAAAGCGTATTCTCATTAATGTACAGGCAATCCACGCAAACGAAAGAAATATTTTTTAAGCATTTTTCATTATAGCATTGTGAATGTAAACTTGATGAAATATAATAATTAAATGAAATATAATAATAATTCTGGAACTCCTTACCCGAGTCAATACGACAGGCAAAGTCTTTAGACATCTTCAAATCGCTGTTAAAATCTTTTTACCTGTCTGAAGATCTTCCTTTCCTTTCTTTTCTTTTTTTTTCTCTCTTCTTCTCTCTTTCCTCCCCCACATGTCGCACTTTGTTTGTCGCTGGTATGCTTTCACGCTTTATATATCTATTTGTTTTGTCACTTGTATGTACTTATAACTTTAGTTCTATTTGTCCGCGTAATTACTTTATTTTAAATTTGCACTATCTGCTTATATTTGTTATTAGCAGAGGTCGGAATTAGGTAGAGTTATTTATGTATTTGCATCGAAATGTTGATATTAATGTGGACCTTCGTGGCAACATCGCGCGTATTGGTATTTTGCAACTTTGGACATCCGATGTCATTGATGTAAGTTTGGCAACGTCGTGCGTGCAGTAGTTTAAATTGTGTAAAAGTAAATAACTTTTTATTTAAAAAATCACGGGATTTTTTCTGCTCTTTAAAATTAATCTCGGGATTTGAGGCATATCCATTTTATCCTTTCGCTGTATAGCATCAGTGTAATTACATGAATAACTACCTAATTCCGACCACTGGTTATTAGTTAAATTTCTGCACTTTGTTAGGTTGCCTGGCACAAATCGCTATCAAGCGATAAGGCCGCCTATTGTACGGTGTCGTTATTATGTTTGCGTAAGATTTTTGTATATTGTCTTTTCTATTGTGCAATAAAGAATATTTATTATTATTATTAATAATTAGAACAAATTTTCATCTTCATCGAGAGTTTAAATATTTGTAAAATATTCTTTCGGCTGTTTGTGTGGATTGCCTGAACATTCATGAGAATACGCTCTGTAGTAGGGGAAAAGTAACATGTGCTACAAAAATTCGTCAATCCTATTAGAGCCTGGGTAGCTGTCGCGGATTGCGAAGGATAAAGGGTTCGAATCCCATTTCAGAGTGCCAAGGACAAAGTGGATTCTTATTATTTACAATAAAAGGAAATGTTCGCAAATGTTGGCGGAGTTTTGCGCAATATTAATTATTAATGTCAATTACCTAGCGCAGTGGCTCGTGACGTGTCTCCGTAAATTCCCCCTCCATTGGAACGACCGCCCGCATTGAGGGCACATGTACAACTGACGTGATCTGTTCACAGAGCTAACTATCTGTTCCTCACTGCCCAATGCGTCCGAGTTGGATTCCTTTAATTTCCTAGATAAATAAGCATAATTAATCGCTGTTGTTAAGCAAATATTAGTTTATTGTCTCAATTTTATATTATCAAGCTTTATTAATTTATTTTTTCTCTCTTGTTTTTTTGTATTAAATTTCTTAGTCTGCATAAGCCAAAATGTAATACTTAGGGCCAGTTTTTTGATCCGTAGTCAAATGTCGGTTCACCATTTCTTAATTTGACTATAGTTAAAACATTAACCAGTTGTTAACCCGCTATTTCATTTTTTGATGGCAAATTAAACCATAGCCAAATTTAACCACTGGTTAATTTGTTGCCAGCACAATGAGTCGTTCTTTCGCTATACATTGACATGGGAATTTTTTTTCTGGGTGACAACACTAACGGTTTGAATGAACGGAGCGAACTATATACCATTTTTGACATTAGGATTTTGTTCCAAATATCAATTAGGCAAAAGAAATCTATAGATTACCACACAGTGTGGATGTTTATGGTTGTTCTGTTGTGTGCACTATGTGTTATTTTTTAGGATATAGGCAATTTCTTTAATAATTTTAGAAAGCAACAAAGAAAAAAACGTTTCTAGTTATTTTAAACGAACTTTCTTATAAAAAGCATATATTTGTTTTTTATTTGTCTTATTTTATAGAGAAACACGTGAAAATAATATAGTATCTAGTATCCAAAGTGGTATTGTAACGTTGGAAAATAAATCGAGGAATATGTATTTTATATACTGTAGGCATATTTACCTTTTGTATTGTCTATTCGTGGATTTTATAAGATTTTTAATAATTGAATAATTTAATATATGCCCGTATGGACACAAGAAAACAAATTATTTTATATAGTTCAAATATACTGAGGATGATCAAGATAAAAATATAACTTATTTTCAATAACCCCAAAACCCGAAAATTACAATGAATATTTTCCTATGAAATTGCATCATAAAAAGAAATTCCAAAAATAACTCAGGTCCAAATTCACTATGGAATCATGTAGGTTATAAAAACAACGTAAAAAACAATAACAAGGGACCAAGTAAATACAACGCAGTTGTACATCTGTTCTTTTAACCATTGGTCATTTGCTTAACCTAGCTTCCAGTGATGGTTAAATTTTTTGACCAATGGTTGGAATTCTGACAATTGGTTAGGCTAACTATTAATCAAAAAACATATTTTTCTGATATTTTACCACTTGTCGAAGATTTTAACAAATGGTTGAGTTAACCATGGATCAATAAACTGGCCCTTAGAGAGCACTGACTCTTGACATACAGGTAACCTAATTTGGGAGACAGGGCAAATTGATTTGTTACGCTATGATGTTACTCAATAAAGAATTATTATTATAACCATCGCGAGGGTCGGTCACGGCCCGTCGTTAATGCCCTCCAATCCGGATTGGGCCCGCGTGGATAATGGCCCATCTTTCTTAACCATCCACAAAGAAGGCCTGCAGTCGCCCAACAGACTAATTTTAAGATCTATCACAATCACTTTGAATTTGACTTTTGAAAGATATTCACGAACTTCACGCTACAACTATTGGGCATGTGACAGGAATTGCGATTACGTTTTTTTTAAAGATATTTATTGATCGATAACGTTTCATCACCAGCCCTTTTACGTCCCCACTGCAGGGGCTCAGGCCTTCCTTATGGATGGTTAAGGAGGATGGGCCATGACCCTCCACGCTGGCCCAATGCGGATTGGAGGGTATTGACGACTGCAAATGCAGCCGGGACCAACGGCTTAACGTGCCTTCCGAAGCACGGAGTGGCTCGAGATAATAATTTTTCGGTCACCCATCCCGTGACCGACTCTTGCGAAAGTTGCTTAACGACTACGATCGCGGGCCGCGGCGCTTATCCACTACGCCACCGAGCTACTCTACGATAACGTTTATTTGAGGTTAATCGGAATCGTCTAAGCAAAGTGACAGTTGCAATTATGTTTGAAAGCTATTGGGAAATGTCAAACGAAATGAATTGTCTATGACATTTATATCATTCGTTCCAAAAGCGATTGTAACTTTAAACGTAATCGTAAATCGCTATCACAACCGCAATACTTTTGAAAAAGATTGTTATAGATTTTAAAATTATACAATAAAGCCACGGGGCAGAAACCTGATATTGAGTTTACAACCAGATCCCCCCCTCCTATACATTTTTGACTTTATATTATTATGATTTTAGCGAATGGCTGTAGCATTAACTAAAAACGAGAACTATGAAACTGGACATTAGAAAGGCTGTAAAAGTAATTTATACCCCAATTTACGATTTGATCAAGGGATTTGGAAGACCCCTTTGCCCCCTTAGTCCGCCTCTGCATATAAGTACAAATGTTAAACTAACTTACCAGAGCTTCAGTTGTATTTTATGTTTAGAACTTGTTCTCGTATGCTTTTGAAGATTGAATGTAGTTGAAAATGATAATCTGTAAAAAAAAAAATTAAGATACATACAAAAATTAAATATCTATGATACCGCAAAAAAGGAAAGCAACTCTTGCGAAAGCCGGTTAAAGGATGGGTGACCAAAAAAATATCTCTCTCCGTGTTTCGGAAGGCACGTTAAGTCTTGGCCCCGGCTGCATTTTCAAACATTAACACCCACCAATCCGCGCTAGGCCCGTGTGCTGAATCATGGATAGGGAAGACCTGAGCCCTGACCTGAGGACATTAGTAGGCTGTGATGTGATGTTAATTAGACCGCCACGAATGAACCCGAAAAGGTATTGCACGCGTTTGTAAGTCTATGTATTTTGTAAGGTAAAAAAAAAATGTTTTTTCTCTGTTCACCTGCACGGTTCACAATAAGGCTTCCTCTTCTGTCCCGTTTCTATTCTGTGCATTTCTATATGTTTCCGCAAAGATGTCTTCCAACGGAATATTTTGTCACAGAACTCGCAAGGGAACGACTCTCTGGCGTCTTGCTTTTCACTGAAAACAAATATATCTATTAACATTGTGATGATAAAAAAACTGGCGCCCAACATGGTGCCCATCATGTTGGGCGCCAGTATTTTAAATAATAGTTCTAGGGTCAAAACTGTTTTATAGCGTTTCTTCGAGTTAATTTTATTCTTATTAAATATATTACGGAGCGCAGCGGCGCGATGTTTCGTATGCTCGTTACTGGCGTTATGCGCAGCTAGATCGCGCTAGCACCGTCGAAAGTATGCGTGTGATATATACGTTCTTGGTAATGCCACAAATACACCGGTAGCGGCTAGGCCAGCCGGTAATTTTCTAGGTTTTAATCTGGAACATTTTTTTTAACACCTTCGCTCGTAAAGCTGATGTAATTCCACCGGTTTTAAATATGTAAAGCGGGTCATAAAAAACGCGTGTGTTACCAAAGCAAATAGTTAAGTTTTTTTTTTTTATTAATTGGCTTGCACGGTTTGTGCATTAGCCACAACGAGGTTTAAAAGGTAGGGAAATCATTTTGAGGAATGGAATATAGGAGCGGAATTTGGAAAGGATAATAGGATCAGGGTTTAAATAAATATTAGAAATATATTATGATATATATATTTATACTTGAATATTATGTTCTGTTATGAATGATATTAACTGATATATTTTATAATTAATACAGTTTAAAAGAATTTGCATGGATGTAGGAAGGGAAATGCGGGCGGATATTAAAGAAGTAATAAAAGAGGAGCAATCATGGAGGAGGCATTCCAAGAAAATGTGGTTTAAGTCCTCAACACCAGTACCACAAGCACATAGACTACTGCCAACTATTCCAAGTCTAGCAAGATGAGAGGCAAAAAGAAAATGCCCTAAACGCATTCTAATGAGACTAGTAGTAGCATATTTACTTAAATATATTCTAAAAAACCATGGTTTGTGAAGTATTGACTCCTGAATAGATTTGTAAGTTCTACCTTTAGTATGGCTTGATGTATCCCATATTGCCTCCCATGATTTATACAAATATGATTTAGGTAGGGATAAGATATCTTGTATTAAATTTTTATAAGGGAAAACATCACCACATTCCACCGCATCTTTAGCAAGTTTGTCCGCTATTTCGTTACCAGTAATATTATGATGGCCAGGTATCCACACAAAAACAATTTTTAAACCTTTTATTTTACAGTTAAGTAATAATTTTCTACATTCAATCAAATACGTGTTAGAGAGACGGGATTTAAAAGGAAATTTTTCTAATGCTTGTAAAGCACTTTTAGAATCGGAAAAAATTATGGCATTTTTGAGGTTTGCAAGTAAAACATATTCTAATGATTTTAAAATTCCATAGCACTCTCCTGTATAAACAGAAGTTTCAGGTGGTAATTTTACTTTTTGAATTATATTGTATTGTTCATGATAAACACCAATGCCAACTAAGTCAGATATATGTTGTTTAGACGCATCGCAATAGATATAATGCCAACCAGGCCATTCTGTATCAATAATATATTTAAAATTAATATTAGCGTTAGGGTCATTTTTAATAACGTCTAGATTGTAGTGAACTTCAGGAGCAATAACAAGAGATTCATAATTTACTGAAAAAATAGGCAGGTACTGTGAACGGTGAGTAGGTGCTTGTAAAGAAGTAAATTTACGGAAGCTAATAACTAAACAAGGAGGGGATTTGTGTCTCCAGTATGAAGAATTCTCAAGTTTTTCAGATAAATCCTGTAATTTACAATATAAAGGGTGATTTGAAAATTGGAAGGAACGAAAGAGAAATTTGTCACATAAAAATTGTCTTCTTAATTTTAAGGGGGGTTCTACACACTCAACTTGGAGAGCATTTATGGGACTTGACATCATGGCTCCGGTAATGATACGCAGGGCTTTAGATTGAATACTGTCTAATTTACTTAATCCTAACATGCTGCATGGTTCCAAAAAGTAGGTCCCATAATCAAGAATACTTCTAATAATGGCATTGTAAAGAAGTTTAAGTGTAGTGGGATGGGCACCCCACCAAATGCCCGAAAGGCACCTTAAGATGTTTAATAAACGTTCACAACGAGCAGTAACATAATAACAATGTGATAAGCCAGTTAATTTAGAGTCGATGATAATTCCAAGAAACTTTGCTTCATTATTTACTGGAATCGCTTTATGATTATAATATATTGAGAATGGTGGAGGAAGAGGCATCCTTGTAAACAGGACAGCACTACTTTTCGAAACAGAAAGGTTTAAACCATTTTCATCTAACCATGACTTTAAATGTTTTAATGCATTATTTAGAGAGTTACTCAATTCGACAATAGAACGTCCAGATGTATACAAAACTAAATCATCTGCGTACTGTGATACATTTGCACAGTCTGCGAGAGAAGATTCCAAATCAAACGTGTAAATATTGTCCTTTCTATGATAATCTAGATTTACTATTGAAATTATCACCATTTTTAATTATTATCATTCTTTTCGAGAGAAAATTAATAATAAAATTAGATAAAATTAGAGGAACATCTAATTTTATCAATTTCTGTCTTAAGATATGGATCTACATTATCATATGCAGCAGATATATCCAGAAACGTAGCAAGGACAGATTGATTATTGGAAAATGCTAACCTGATATCTGTAGTGAATATACCTAAACTATCCATGGTACTTTTACCTTTCCTGAAGCCATATTGACTAGATGCCAACAAACCTTTACTTTCAACAAACCATTCTAACCTATTCTTTACTAAATGTTCGGCTAATTTTTAAATTACTGAAGACAAAGCTATTGGTCTATATGAATTGTGGTCCAAAGAAGACTTACATGGTTTTAATATAGGAATTACTTCCTGAGTTCTCCGCGAAAGAGGAAATCTATCAGAAATCAAGATGTAATTAATAAGTTGTAATAGATAATTAAAGCTTGCATCACTTAAATGGACTAAAAATGAGTAGGGGATCCCATCACAACCAGGGGCTGAATCTTTTACATAGGATAAAACACATTTTATTTCATTAAGGCTAAAGGGAGCATTGAGGCCAGTTAAATTATTTGTTATGTTCTCTAATGATTTATATAGCGGAGTGAATTGTTGTGAGGCGAAAGGTGGAGATATCATAACTAAGAATTTCTCTGTTACTTCTTTATCAATAAAATGAGGAACGGGTTCTTTAAATGCTGCCCTGAATCTACGTATATTGTTCCATATAACTGATGGAGGAATATCAGGAGTTAGGTTCGTACAGAATTATTTCCAACCCTCCCATTTTTTTTTTCTTAAGTAATTTACGGGTTTGTGATATAATAAGGGACAAATTATCAAAATTATCTATTGTACCACTTTGTGTATATATTTTTTCAGCTTCTTTACGTCTCTTTATTGCCGCCGTACATTCAGAGTCCCACCAAGGTGGAGATGGAATATTCGTATTATGTCGTTTATGAGGGAATATATCATCTGCAGCCTCTACTAAGGTTGAGGCAAATGCATCGGCACACTGAGATTGGCTGTTTAGAGGCACTCGTGGAAGAAGTGTCAATTTTTGCTCAACTAACTCCCTAAACATTTTCCATCTGTCAACTCCGTCATTGTTATTGTTATTTAGCCTATATTTTAAACGAGGAGATCGTCTATTACGCGAATTTATTAGAGCTTTCGGAAAAGAAATTAAAATTGGAAAGTGGTCACTACCAAATGTGGATCTATATGGATCCCAAGTCAGCATCGAAGCTAAATTAGGTGTACAGATTGAAAGGTCTGGAACACTATTTCCTTTATTAGGAAGAGTACGACGTATCGGGACTCCAGAGTTTAAAATACAAAAATTATTAGTGTCCATGAAATCTAAGATCCTGGTACCATAATAAGACGAATAAGAACTTCCCCAAGATTGGTGTTGGGCATTAAAATCACCCATTATTGAAATTGGCTTTGGTAGCTGTGAAAGAATATTTTCTATTCTCATGGAAGATGAAGGATGAGGGACATATAATGAGACAAAACAAATGTTATTTATAGAAGCAGCAATTATTAAAAAGTCACTATTATGATTATCTATGGAAATGTGATTAAAGGAAATAGTATTATTAATGAATAATGCAAAACCACCATAGCTATCAGTTCTATCTTCTCGTAAAGACAAATAATTTGGTAAATTAAAGTTAGAAATAGGCTGTAGCCAAGTTTCTTGTAATGCAATTATTATAGGATTGTACATATTAATCATGTACTGCAAATCAGTTTTTTTATTTCTAAGACTGCGGCAATTCCACTGAAGTATTATGGATTGATGATCCATTATTGGGTTGATAAAGTAAGTTATTCAAATTTGATAGAGCAGCGTTGGACGGTTCAGATATATTTTTAGATTGAGATGATTGAGATTAAAATTATAATAAGGTCTTTGATAGATAAGTCAGACAAAGGGTTGTTATTCAAAGTGCCCACAAATAATAAAGTATGAGCTTCTTTATCATAACCTATACTATCACATATTACAGGCTTTGATTTGTTAAAAACTATCTTTTTATGGGACAATTTATTTAAATGAGCATAATTTTGAGGTCTTATGTTTTGTTTCATAGGAGTCAAAGGAGACAAGGGATTTGAAACTGCAGCGGATAATACTTCAGAATATGATTTTCTTACTAAAGGATGTAACGTAAGTGCTTCAGCATAGGAAATACAATTTTTTGTCATAGACTCTTTTATTGATTTCTGCCTAGAGAATTCAGGACATTTCTTATTTTTAGCGTAATGTGATCCTGAGCATAAACAGCATACTACATCATCATCATCAATGTTACAGTTCTCACCAGTATGACTATTACCACATTTAAAACTTCTTGGAGTTGATCTACATTGGTTTTTTATATGACCATAACGGCAACAATTAAAACATTGTACTGTAGGGAATATGTATAAATCAACAGGGAGAGAGATATAGCATAGAAAAACTCTTTTTGGTAGAACCTGACCTTCGAAAGTTAGCACTATAGTTTCAATGGGAATGAAGTTTGCCTATTTAGTCGTCTAACTTTCAGAATATTTCCACATCCAAGAGGAACAGTAATGTTTTTCATTATGTCTTCTTCAGACCAATCGGTTGGAACACCCCTAACAACTCCCATACGAGTTACAGTAAAACCTGGTATAAAAGCTTTATATTTATGAAGTTTTAAATCTTGATTGTCAATGAAAGTATTTGCATCTTCATAATTCGAAAAAGCCAGAACAACCCTATTTCTTCCAAACTTTTTTAAACTACCATTTATAATGTTTTTAATGCAGGCCTTTTTCAGAAAACGACCAAAAGAAACAGGATGAATTGTGACATTTTCATTGGGACTGGACTGTTCCTTCTGGATGTGAACTATATATGGGGACACATTTGAAGGTTGGTATATGGACCTATTTATTTGAGTCCGGACAGTAACATTATTAGAATTAGTATTATTAGCATGAGGTACTGGGGATGTGGAAACTGGTTTTGTTACGGGCATTTTAAATATTTTCGAACAATCGTTTTCGATTGTATTGACCTCACATTGATATTCTTTTTCAGAAAAAGGGTCCGAAGTTGCCTTATGATGCCTCCTCTTTTTATTGCAATGCTTACATATCTTACGAGATGAAACTCGTTTACGTTTACAAGTGAAATTACTATCTGATACATCAGAAAAGGAACCTTCAGTTTCCATACCCGTTCCCGAACAATCATATGGAAGAGTTACAAGTTGAGACGCCTGAGGGACCGTCCCCCCAGGGTCTTCAGGAACACTCATAAGAAAGAGTTCAAAACTTACCTAACTGCAGCAACTTTATTATAAATATTATATAATACTAATATATAAATAATAATAGCACAAAAAATACTTATCTGATCCTATTAACTATACTTAATAAGTTAAATTTAATTAAAGTTAAAAAAGACGCCCGCCTAATTTAAGATTTCCCGCGCTTCCTCAAAACCAAATGTTGAATATTATTTAATTTAATTCTAATGTCAAATAGTTAAGTTATAGTCCATACAAATTCCATAACAGCATTATTTGCCATTACGCGGCGCCAGTCAGTAGGCGGCGCTAGCGCGCTGTTAAAATGGCGGGAAAGCAACAGTGTACATTCACAGATTGAGTTTATTTAATGTTCTTTTTCTGTTTCCTCGCAAATGTGTTAAAAAACGTCGTACGATATACGTGCGTATTGGTTATAACATGCGAGGCGGAATTTCAGCCCGAGCCGAAGGCGAGGGCGTAATTGAGCCGAGCACCATATAACGCACTAATATCGTAATTGTCTAATATGTTGGTAAAGTCTATCTCAGTCGCTATAAAGACGCGGTAAGATACTCACCCCGATATTCTTTTAGTGTACAAATGAACTGAATACGAGACCGAAAGTACGTGGAATTCGAATCGATATCTAGTACTATGAACTATCTGGACGATCTACTAGTGTTATGAAGTAATAGTGAGACACGTGAATAGTGAAGTTGAAGTGTGTATTTTGATGTTGGATTATATTTGTAATTTTTATTGGGTAAATAAAATGTCGGATTGTGAATTTAATTTTTATCCCGAATCCGAGCTCGAAACGATAATAGCAATCTTGAAGCTATTACTACTCATGTTTAGTAATAACTAGCTTTCCGTCAGCGGCTTCACCTGCGTAGTCTTTTATTATACATAAAAACCCTCCTTTTGAATCACCCTATCTATCAAAAAAACCGCATCAAAATCCATTGCGTAGTTTTAAATATTTAAGCATACATACGCATATAGGGACAGAGAAAGCGACTTTGTTTTATACTATCCAGTTTTTAACAAAACTATTATAATTATTTATCTTTTATAATTTATTTTGAAAATAAAATGTTTTGCACTTCTGCTTCTGTCCTCCTCTTTTTTCTAATATTATAATAAATGGAGTATATATGTATCTTACCTTTCATTTTGTTCCAAGCATTTAGTCTTTGGTCTATTTTCATATGTTGTTTCATCATAGCTGTAAAGGCAATATTCATTTATATACACTGGTTCATGTGACTTTACATCTGATGCATGGTATGAGCGTAATATGGACCAAGTATAATAAATAAATAAATAATAATAATTTATTTGCGTTTGAATAGGGTATACAAAAGAGATGTAAAACGTAATACAATTATCGCCTATTCAGCCATTAACAATAGCATGCAAATGTAGTAAAAAAAGATACTATAAGCACTGATTAATCCACCCAGGCTACCGTTCAGTTTCTATAGTCTAAGAACTCATGCAACGAATAAAAGGAACGCTCAGCAAACCAGTTATATAACTCTCTCTTAAATCTAGTGAAAGGTGTATTCTTTATAGATTCCGGAATCTTATTAAATATTGTTTGACACATACAGTAGCAGTTATTTTTAAATCGCGCGCTTTTTGGGACTATGTCAAGAACTAGCCTATTTTTATTTCTAGTGTTCCTGGGATACACTTCATGAGCTATTTTGTAATAATCAGGGTATCGTTTGGCAAATTTCGCTGCTTCAAATATATATAAGCAAGGAAGAGGTAGAATACCAAGAAAAAACCATTGCTTAGATGAGACGTCGGGAGCGATACCACATATGGATCTTATGCATTTTTTTGGGTAATAAATACCCTTTGCGCATCTGTACCATGCATGCAATAAAATTAATACAGGTAAAAAAAAGTATAATCTACAAATCGAATCTAATGTTAAAAAGAGAAATAAAGCCATAGGTGGAAATAATGCCTTAATGTGGAACAAAAAGCTTGATGCTCGCTTGTAAGCAACTTTCGCAACGACCGATAGAATTGGTGACCAAAAATTTATTATACCCTCAGTGCTTCGGAAGGCACATTAAATAGGGATGATGACTAATTTTTGTTTGTTTGTCCGTCAGGTAGAGTGTTAAAAGATATTAAACACGTATTTTTTTATCCTTTTCGTAATCATAAAATTACGGCGTTACATTGAGTTGAAATTTCGTATGACGTTAGAGTACGTTTTCTCCTCAACTGTGACGTAGCGAGCCCCCACTCCTCAACTTTAATGCCTGTTATCTAAGCTATTTCTTGTTAAATTGAAGTAAAAAAAATATGTATCTAATATTTTTCTATTATCTGACTGACGGACTAAATAGAATTGCATTTTTTTTACCCAGTCATCATCCCTATTGTTGTTTCCGGGTACATCTGCAGTCGTTCGTATCCACCAATCCGCACTGAGCTCGCTCGGTCATGGCTTATGCTCCCTATTCGATTCGTTTCCGACCATAGGTAAAGGGGCCGTCCATTAATCACATGATTTATTTTTCAGATTTTTAACTCCCCCCTCCCCCTTGGTAATACATGGTGAGGTTTAAGACTACCCCCCCCCCTCCACCCAATACACGTGTATTTTTTAGTACCTACAAAAAATATCTTATTTATTGGCGCCGCTTTTTGGTTTACTAATCGCGTGATTGGGGGAAAAAAATACACGTGATATATTATTATTATCCCCCTTGTGATATTTCGTGATTTTTGACGAACCCCGTCCCCCCCCTTTCGAGCCTCACGTGATTAATGGATGGCCCCAAAGCCTGAGCCCCAGAAGTGGAGACAGTATTGGTGATGTGATGGCACGTTAATATCCTCACCTGATATGTAAATGAATTGTTTCATAATGCTTTGTGCCCGCCCCTTTGCTTTTAAAGCGTTCATTGCACACAGTACACTGGTACCTCTTCATATGTTTGTTTACATGGTAATTGTATGACATTTCGGTAGCAAAAGTACATTCGCAAATACTGCATTTAAATTTTGATTTGTTCTGAAAAAAAATCTACGTATACAGGGTGTTTGCAGACAAAAATTGATGGGTAAATGATGCCTAAAATGAGTAAGTGATGCCTAAGATGGGAACCATGCTGACCAAGTCGCGGACAACAGCTAGTACATAGAGAAAATTAAATGTTACTTGATTTATTTTAAGTTATAACCACTTCGCAAATACAAATCGCGGACTGTCATCCCTTAGAAATGTCAAACTAAGTAAGCACTCATAGATATCACACAGACCTAACATGCGATATTTGGGGGAGGGAGGGTGTTATAAAATGTTACGATCCGTTACAAGGACGGGAGGGGTCCATACAATACGTTATGCAACATCGGTTTCGTTAATTGAATATATAATACAGAATTAGGGAATTAAGATCTCGCAAAGTTAGCATAGAACATTGTTCTAGTCAGCGTTTTGATTGTCACATCTCTATACATTTTTGAAAACTGTAATTCTGCAATATTCAATAGTTCAAGGAAACAAAGTCTATAATTTATATTTTTATTTTTTTATTTTATATCTAACATTGATACATAACTTGCTGCGCCCTATCAGGGGTCATGTATGAAATCATTTCTTTAAATTAATCATCTATGATGAATGGAATGAATTGAGGGAGATTTACATCACCAATTGTCCTGGCATGTAAACACTTTCATGATTTGCCAGCACACCTGTGGCAAAAAATGCCAACCAATAGTTGGTTGGCATTGCTGGCTGGTTTGAACACCAATAGGTTTGTTTAGTTAAGTATTATGTAATGTTTATACTGGGGGGAGGGGTTAGAAAAACGTTACGGCGAGTTACATGGGGTGATGGAGGGTTAAAAATAAAAAAGTTGCATTACATAGAAAAGCATTGTACACAAGCTTGTCTTAAGCACAACAGGCGCCCGGGTGCAAGTAGTGCTCTGGCACCCTCAACACGAGGGGCCCGGATGCATTGCACCCTCTGCATCATGGGTGAAGACAGGCCTGAATGTACAATAGAAGTGTGAGTTATGAATAGGCCAATAATGTTGACAACGATTAAAAGTAAGTACTTACCAACTCATGCTTCACTTTCTTATGGTCATTGAGATCATCAATATTTGGAAATGTTATAATACAATTCTCACAACGATACATTGCTATCTCATACTCTTCTCTCTCCACTAACATTCTTCTTTCCTCTGTTAACTCTTGCATTGTCAACTCTATTTCTTTAATTACGTCTGTCTCATCATTCTTCTCTTTTCTCTTCTTTCTTACTTTTAATTTCTTCTTTTTCTTTCGGTTACTGTATTCTATTAGTTTTGTGTCATCATCAAAATTATCTGAATGTGATGATAAGTTGTTCTCTTCTACTGTATCCAGTATCTCCGGTTTAATTTCACTCTTAACATTGTTTTCTAATTTTATAACATCAACAGTTACTTCTAGTTCATTTTGTATATTTGGGTCAAAGTGAAGATTAAAAATTTGGTGTGTATGTAATATTGGTGCCCGTTTGAGATGCACTACATCCATATTCTGTAAAAAAAAAGATGATTCACGCATATATACATTTTTTCACACTGCTACTAGTGGTCCCTTTGGTAACCAGAATGTAAAAAAATATATACATTTATTATATTTGATAAATTTTGCATTCACAATGCTATTTTGTAAAATATTCATGATGAAAAATGCTTAAAAATTCAATAAAAAAGTTTTCTAATAACTATATTTATTTATTAAAAAACATATATCTATAATTGAAATAAAATTAATATAATTACCTTTTTTGTATATTCATTGAGATTTTTAAAGCATTTCTTTGCTTGCCTCTTAAATTTAATGAAGCGATTGATTAATGCATTACATTCCCAGCAGACTGTTATAGGAAGATACGTCGTTGAATCCATCTGAAAGATTGAATTAATAAATAACCACAAATCACACAGTGAGATTTGTTATTTTTTTTTACAATTAAAAGTTTGAAATATGCAATAATTATTTTCTTAACGCAACAATGTGAATATTAGTTACTATTAAATCATATAACGTACCGGCATTTCATTGACTATTTCTAAAAAACACCGTTTCATTGAAACACCTTCAAGACGCACCATTTTTCTATCTCCGCAGAGACATGCACAACACAAAACATTGTTATCTCCATTCATTTTCTTTAAAATCCTCTATTACATTGATTTCTTATTACGTTTCTATTTAAAAAATCGATAAAAAATTAAATTTTTCCTAAAAAAATCTTTGTTTGGAACGCTTTTTTTATAGCCTTTTAAGAATCATTTCTAAACGTCAAAGCGTTTTATTTTCTCTTCACTCGCTTACTCTTTTCGAAACAAGATCTTTATAAGAAATTAATTTAAACTTTTTGAAATAATCATATTATATTCCTGAATAAAATAAGAAGTTTAATATTGTAATAGATATAATTACTGAATAAATTATGTTTGACATAACAAGTTTTGACAATAATAAAACGCTTGCAACAAACTCCATTCTAAGCAGGCTGAAATCGTTATGCCATAGTTCTTGCTGGTATTGTGTTGCGTGTTGCACATATTAAGGTTGTAACGTAAAATGGAATGCAGTAGCTTATAGTTCTTCGATTTTGCATTGGTTATCATAAAATAAATTAATAAAATGACTGCTTTTATACAATTAAACGTGCCGGTTATGGTTTTGAATAAAAAAGCAATGAAATTTACATGCTCACAAAGTGTTTGCATCAGTTGTCTGCAACAAAACGTTTCATTCGTTCATCTATCAACTTGTAAACATGCAAATTTTTTAGAGTTTATTTTCAAATTCAAGGTTAGTTAAGTTTTATTAATTTATTTTATAAATGTGTATAAATAAATAATATATGGTTGCTTTTGGAATGACTTTCCAAAATGGAGATTCACGTAGCACACTTTAGATGGAGTGTTATATTTTTCACATGACAAAATTTATTACGATGTATTAATAAAAAAAATAAAATAGATAAATAGACTTCGTAATAAAAATGATATTTATTCATGTGGATTTATTATATAAATTACACAGTAATAATATTTTTGTAAGCTTTAATTTATTCAAATGTGCCCCACAATAGGGGCACATTTCATTGCAATAAATTTATTACACATAAGACATATAATACTGCCGTTACGAATGAACAACAAAATTAATCAAAATTAATGGTAATGTGAACAGAGGCGGCTGTCAACGCCACCACACATATCGGTTTGGAATGCACAGCCCTACTGTCTCTAACACTATATGGTTGAAAATTTGACCACGCAATATTTTAAACATGTACGTAGTCAAACTCAACAGTCTTCTAACTTATTATATCCAACCATACCAAGTACAAATAATGTTGGATACATTAAGGGGTAAAACGGATACACCCCATTAAGCTTGACATATAAAAATCTCACTAATTTGTTAAAAATTTGCTGAAGAAGAAAGTAACTGGCATTAAATGAAAAATGTGTGTTAATATAATGGCTATAATGTGTTTTACAATATTTAATAAACATAATTCAATAATTATTTTTTATATTTTCAGTAGTTTACTTATAAACAACAATATTTATACTTACTTTCCTCACAGCAACTAACAATATATTTAGGAAGTAACGGATACGTAGTTCTATGTTGTATTCAAGATTGTAAAAAAAATACAATATTTGTATTCTTACAAATTGTTTGAAACTGCCCTATCTCCCCTAATATTTATACATATTTCTGTGCTATCTAAATATCGTCAAATTCAATGAATTATTCCCTCATTACAGAAAGAATATCAAAGCTCAGTGATATAACAAAAATGTCATCATTTTCTTAAGAAGATAGAATTATTTAAGCTGCAAGTACAAGAAAGCCTTACTATACTTAACAGCCAGGTATGTCACAATTTATCATAACATATTGTAACACTATAACAGTATGAAATACCAAATGGGTAATTTAGATAGACAAATTTAATTGTACACATGAAAATTCACAGTTCGCAGATTATTTTACCAACCCCTTACGAACCTTACTGATGTCATTTCCTGTGGTTGCAATTGAAAAATATGTTTTTTGTTTAATTATCATCAGCACCAGCTTATTAATGTGCCCACTGTTGGAGCATTAGTTGTCTCAGATATTCCATAATATGAGGGCTGGACCTACTCATCTTGTAATCTGAGTAAGGGCGCGTTCACATATAACGTCCGTTTAAACGTTTGTTATTAGCATACGTAGTTGTATGAGCCAGTTCACACATAATACAGTATTTCGGATCCAGTATACTGCTCCGTTTATCGGATCGAACCGCACGAGACTTGTCACGGAGGTGCACGGAGTGTGGGGGCTGCACACAGTCGCCATAAAGGATGTATCTAATAACGCCAGGGCTTCCTCAGACGCAGATGACGATAGTACCAATAAAACACGACAACGTCCGTCCTCGTAGAAAGTAGATGAACCCTAAAAAACGAAAGTGCAGTAGCGTAAATGCTGTGTCAATACTATCTCCAGTAGCGACGGATCCGTTAAAAAGGATCCTGTATAAACGGACGTTATATGTGAACGCGCCCTTATGGATGAATAATGCTTTATGTGATGTGTTGTCTAATATTAAAAAAAGCTATTTAAAAGTTAGATTGTAAAATAATTTCAATGTATAATATTCAACAGGCTCAAATCAATAAGCCATCAAGAAAAATATTGCATGATCTTCGAATTTCGAAAACAGAAAGCGCTGATATAATTTTTAAAAATGAACCTTCAGAACAAGAAACATACGCCAATCCACCGCAAGAGCACTATAGCGAAATAGCAACTGAAGTGAAAGTTGAACACGAGAGTTACTCGGATTTCGAAATTGACGCTCCATTATCAGAGATAAAGAAAGAAATGAGAAAAGTCAAGAAGAAAGAAGTAAGCAAAGAGATTGTCCAATTCAAAAAGAGGTCCTTATCGGAGAAGTATGAAGGAAAAATCTCTGTTGTAACGCTGAGTAAGAAGGAAATGTTAGAAGAGAGAGAAAGGGATGCAAAAAAAGATAGTTATTTGAAGTTGCCCTATAAGTGTGACAGTTGCATCACAGGATTTGACCACGATTTGACTTTGAAAGATCATAATGAAAAAAGACATGGTACAGTAAGTATGCAATTAGAATTCTTATTGCTATAGAATATTAGACAGATTGTAATACTGTTTAAAACAGTATTATAATATTTTTCACTACATTACACTTTTTATTGTTTATCAAATGTTATGTTTGATAAAATACAGTGTGTCTGAACACCGGTGTCCGACCCATTAAGGCCAAGTAATATATTCAATTTTATAAATAAATCCACCATAATTAGGCATTTTGCCCCATTTGTTTTAAACTTGACAAGTTATCAATATGAGGATCCCATTGCAGTCGGGAATTTAGTGTAATACCTAGGAACTTTGTCGATTATACCAACTCCACTTTTTCATTATTTACATTTATAAGTGTACTAACATGCCTCACATTAGGTAATGCAAACTTTATGCATTTCGTTTTATTTGAATTGAGGTTTATATTATTATTATATAACCACTGTAGAACATTGTCGAGAGCATCATTTTCATCGTCAAAACAATAATTACCCCTCTTAACTTTAAACACCAAAGTGGTGTCATCTGCGAATAATACTGTCTCGCAGAAATTATTCGTAAAGTGAGGAAGATTAATGTAAATTAGAAAAAGCAATGGTCCTAATACCGATCCCTGAGGCACGCCCATAGTAAAGGGTGCCCCCGCACCCTTCATCGCTTCATTAATTACTACTTTTTGAATTCTAGCAGAAATATATGATTTTATTAGATTAAGTGAATTTTTCGTCACACCATAATGCTCTAATTTCTCCAACAGTGTTTCATGACTAACGCAGTCAAATGCTTTTGACAGATCGCAAAAATGCCGATAGCATCTTGTTTATTCTCCCAAACATCATAGATACCTAAGTCTTATGCCGCCTCTACACATAGGCCAATGCGTTGGCAAGTGCGCTGGTCCAGCCACTGGTCCAATGTGTAGAACGAGCGTTGACGCATTGGCGGTAGGTATTTGAACAACCTTCCACACATTGGTCGCGCAATCAGTTTGCCCGGAGCAGCGATTAAGAGTGCACGTTTTCTTCTTGAGGCGAATTAACACATAACTTGACGAAATGGCGAACAATATGAGTAACTAGGAAACATTTTAATTTATTGAGCTCTATCAGAGTGCAAACTGCCTGTGGAACCCGAAAAATAAGCACCATAAGCATCATAAAAATAAAAATGTTGTATGTATTAAAAGTGCTTAATAAATAAGATTTATTGGACATGCCCTTTTCCTTACGATGTTTTACTTCACAGTAAGAGCATCGTACTTTATTATTATTTTAATGTTATTAATGTAAAAGTGAGTGTATTTGTTTGTTTGTTACGTTTTCACGCCTAAACTACTTTTATATTTTTGTTTCGAGATTTTATTTTATTCATATCAACTACCTAATAATTTTTGTTATTTCAGATCAACGATTCTTGGAAACGTATTGCAGATACAATGGGTGTACCAGTGCATGAAATAAAGAAGAAAAAAAGAGCTTGATGACAACCTTTCGAGCTAATTTGGAAAAAAAAATTAGATTCGTTAAAGTCGAAGGAGCTGGAGAAGAAGATGCGTTTAAACCAATTTGGCTGTTCTATGATGCCATGGAAGTATTTTTAAAGGATGTATACGAATGCAAAAGCATCTGCAAAAGTGAAGGACATGTAAGTAAAACAAAGTATAGTTTCTTATAATATGTTTATTAATAACGAACATGAAGTCAATTTAAACATAATAGGTGCGTTTTAAGCAATTTGTGCCTGACTGTTATTTCGTCTCCCGAAAATATGATTCATAAAGTTTACCCTCGTTTCGAGCGCATTCACTGAACTTCTATGAGGTACACTAGTGATGCGACTCGAGCCTTGTTTTTACTCGAGTCACTGGAGTGAAATTGTCAAACTCGTACTCGATTGAAAAAAAATATTACTCGAGTCTCTATGCACTCGATTGCCGCCATGCCACTAGCTAGATGTCACTTTACTACTACTTATTACAATATAATTGTTAAAACTAATTATAAAAAGAAAACTAAATTACTTGTAATTA